TACAGCTCACTTCATCAGGGTTTGAAGAGCAGCCTGATACTGTATCAGCCTGATACTGTATCAGCCTGATACTGTATCAGCCTGATACTGTATCAGGCTGCTCTTCAAACCCTGATGAAGTGAGCTGTAATGTTCACGAAACGTCGGTATAAAAATGACACTAACGCGGTTCAAACCCGAAAAAACATCTTTGTATATTAACATATATATATCTCACTATCGAAAAAGACTATATTCTTAAATTAAGAATATATTCTTAAATAAAGAATATATTTTTAATTTCAGAAGAATATCATCTAAAATCTTTAAGAAGATTTTTTAAGTATAAAATCTTCTACTTACGAGAATATAATTTTTTCGGTGTACGCTTTGCGAAAACGAAGCGCCTATTTTCCGAAACGGATTAACACGACCGGATTTAATCCGTGTCACGCTGACGTTGCACCCACGCGTTCCGTTATACCCTTCGTCGGATGACCGCCGCTGACCTCACCATCTCGGTAAGTAGTCAAGAAGAAGTACACAGACGATAGAGAAAGAGGGAAGAGCTTTCAGGAGAATAGGCGCGCGAGGACGAGGGAGTGGAGTCCTCTTACGACATACCGGTTACAACGGATCCTTTCTATACCCTCTTAGCTCGCAAGAGCTCTTCCTCGTTTGAATTGGCGGTGCGGAATTTATTTGCTCTCGCTATCAAAAACGCAATAAGCCGAGGCATCTTAACACTCTCATTGCTTTTGCCTAGCACGCTTCCGTGCAAGATCTCGCGACGAATTCATACATCTTAAGCAGGGTCTGGGGGGGGGGGTAACCCGTCCTCGAGGGGTTCGCAAATCTTGAACCGTCTGCCTTAGACGGGAGAGAAGAAACTGCAGATAACATCGATTGGATTCAAGCGCAAAAAATTGTGAGAGAACGAAATTACAATGTTCTTCGGATATAGATAAAAGTTTATTTTGTGCTGAATTATAAAGAGTGTGGTTCGCGTCGCAACTGTGCGCGATCCCATGTCGCATATATCCAGAATTTTTCCGCGCCGCGTGCAGCGCCATGTGAATTCTCCTCCGACAAAAGGCTCACGGCCGCGAGATACTTTGAGATGATGCTTGACGATAACGACACTTAGCCAGGCATTAAGCATAAATATGGAACGTCTCCAAGAGTCACAGGTGCGACTCCGGTGAACAATACGTACATGGACCGTAAGTGGCGATTGGTGAGCTACGCGGTCAGTGACATCCCGACACGGGATACGCTGAATGACTACTCCTCAGATCTTACAGGTTTAACCAGAATTCTCACAATATCATGCGCGAATCCAGCCATAGAGGAACCGCTACGCGCGAGCAGCTATGTGTCTTCGATTTTTTTTCTCTCTGCTGACCTCAGGTAGAGTTCCCGATGATGTAGAATATCGAAGTCGGCTCCTCCGCTTACCGGAAAAGATAGCTTTCATGTTTTCTCGACGTTGATATAAGAGAAACTATAAATTCTAAACGTAGATTTATTTACCGACCAAATATATATTTATCGAAAAAAATCGAATTTCAGCCAATTAATTTGTTGTGAATCTTAGCAAAACATTTGGTTGTATTTTACTGATGTAGCGTAATACTATGCCAATTGCTGTATTTCTAATTGCATAATAATGATATCAAGATCGCAAATACATGCAAGTCTAAGGTAAACACAAGAAAAACGCAAGAAGCAAACATCGCTCGTAATTTTCTGCCGTAATGCAATCTGATACATCAAGCGACTTCGACAATCTCGAAACGATGGATCCGGAGAAGAAAGTTACGCGCGTGGTAACACAACACGATAAATATAAAGTTTTCTTTTTTCTTTCGAATGAAAACCTGTTGCCTATCGAAGTCGGCGATGTTCCTGATTTTCTTTGAATGCGAGGGTCTCGCAAATGCCCGCTGTGTCCCGAGGAAGATACATAATCCAGTAAAACATGTCCGCCGTCTGATGGATCGCCAGTGATCGAGCGCGTCGATCTCGATCGTCCTTGCTGGCCTTTGCTCGAGAAAAGCTCGACGAGCAAAAAGAACGTGTGCGCGCGAGAGTCACAGAATCGCCTAGTGATTCTCGGGGGAAGAGAAAAAAAAAAGAGGGAGAAAGAGGAGATAGGCCGAGTGAGTCGCGGAATTCAATCGATCCCGTCCGTTTAACCACACCTGCTCTTCGCTGAAGCACCGACGGTCGATTGATGAAGGGGAGAAGCAAAACTGACGCATCCTCAATAAGCCTTCATTGACGATGCAACGTTTTTGCACGTCGTCGTGTTCGTAGTATCATGCTTTTCCGAGAACGCTTCTCTATCGATCGATCCATCGATCGATCGGTCGTGTGAGCGCCTTTCGTGTGCGAAATAGGCTCGTCTTCTTTGTATCTTCTCTCTATCGTGAGATATACAATTACTTTCTCGTATAACAAATTACGAGAACGACAAATCTTCGCTTTTCCCGATCGATTCTCGAAGCGAATCTGCGATCGATTTCTTCGTCGTGCAGTTTCTGTCGCAATTTTTTCTCCAGTTGAAATAATTCATGTCACGCGACGACAATTTCGGGTTCGCGATTCGACAGAATCATCTCATCGTTCTGCTATCGGTAGCGGGACTCAGCTCGCAAGCCCAGGCGTATCTCGCTCGAAACCTGCTCGACGTAAAGGGAAGAAGCTCACGCGATACTTCGTGGAATAAGGCTCAGGAAGGAGGCGACCGATCGCTCGCAGGCGACCCGAGAGTAGTCGAAGAACGAATATGGTGTGCCAGGTCCATGGGAAAGCACCTTGGGTCCCGACACGACCGGTGCCAGAGGTGAGCATTATGAGGTAATGCTCTCCCCGTCGGGCCGGAGAGGAAGGGAGACACGCGGATAGGTTCGACGTCCTGACAGAACGTGGCTCGCTCATTCAAACATTGGCCGACCGAGTCTGCGTTAGTCACACCAGACGGTACAAGAAAGACGATCGCGGAAGTGTTCGTTTCGTCTCGACTCTGGTTTAACAGAAATTAATTTCAGCTCTCATGCCACGCGCGTGCAACACATTTAAGCTCAATTTCGGCCCTTTCTCTATCGCGTCTCTTCTTCGTAATCTCGAAAAATGACGCGCAGCGCTTAATTCTGTTCCACGAATAGACGTGCTCTAATGAAATCTCAATTTTTCTGCCTCTTCGAGAAATTCGATTCTGTCATAAATATTGAAAAATGTACTTAGGTCACGAGAAGAGGTTTTTCGTCTCTTTCGTTGAGAGACGATTACTTTTACTCTCGTTGGTCTCCGTCTCGTCGATCCCGCATTCGAGTTTCTTGTGTCTTCGCGCGCGGAGATAAAAAAAAGAAAAAATAAAAGAAAATAATAAAAATACACCACCGATGTAAACAAAATCATTTTTGCGCAAATCGAGCGTATTTTGCCGCATTTATGACAATCTTGTTTTTCGCGAGAGCTGCACGAAGGCAGAAATAATCCGATCGCCTCTCTCCGGGCGAAAATATTTCTTGTTGTCCGTGTCTACCTCCTATTTCCTCGTGGGAGTCCCGCGCGTTCACGGTCTCTCTATCAAATAAATGACTCACGTTTTGTACGCCGGCTCAAGCGTGTCCGAGGCGTTGAAGCCAGACGAAAGAAAGGGAGATAGAAGCGCACCGAGGTATTTCTGCAAAAACTCACCAGAATGCGTGGATCGTGACGCCAGCAGTAGGACGGCGGCCAGCCAGAGGATTATCCCGCGTCTACAAAGCGCAGCGTTCAACGCCGACATGTCGGCACTCTTCTTCCGTACCCTGCAACACACGTAAATGATGCTTTAGTTAGCTCGTATTAACCGTGCAAATGTAAACTCCGGTCTTTTGCGCAGCTTGTACACGCGCAATTACATCAGAATTTACAAATTTATCAGAAAGTACGAATTAATTCCGAATTAATTTGTTTTTATCATTAATTTATTTAAATAATTATTTTAAAGATATAAAAAGAGTTAAAAAAGTCACACACAAATTGTATTTTTAACTCTAATTTTCTTATTTCAATATAATAAAATATTTACAAATAATATAAATAATAATATCTGTTTCACTTAATCAAACTTATACTCGATGAATAAATTGTTACGAACACTGTAGTAAATGTTACTATTAAGACATCTCGCGATGTAAACATGGATGGCGCCCGTGTTCATCTTATATCAAAGTCGCAAATGCAATCGTCTCGATTTACTCAGCTCGGAAGTTTAAACGTAGTCAGACAGCTTTGCGAAGTTTTTTACGTTACCTGCATACGCGTGAGAGTTATAACGAGCCATTGTATGCTTATCTATTCCATCGTGGCGCGATTTAAAGACGGGATATCTATCTCGTCACGTGGCATTCTACCACGTAACTGTCGCCCTGATCTGACAACTGGACGAGCACCAGTGGTCGTGTTTGGAATCGTGCCAAACCTACCTTCGCACTTTGACCGGCCAATCGCTGTCGCACACACACATCAATCTAGCGCACGTTCGTGGATAAAATTAATATGTCTTAACAAAATTCTCCAAATGTGTGTTACGATATACGTAATAAATATACGTGTCACATAACGCGTAGAAAAAAAAACCAATTTAATAAGTTACTTATTTAAATTCTAACTAGACGCGCGTAATTGACGTTAAAGTACGTATCAGTCATAATGTCAAAGTCAAGGTGCGAAATTTGCAATGCGAAGAAACATCTGACACGTTCACGGCGAGATATTATACCTACATGCGATTTGTCTACCTAAAGCATGAAACCGGCTATGAGAGGCGTAGGCGCGTGGGAATGAGTACATTTGCACGAGCACGCTGAGAGCTCAATCTACTCCTCGTGCCGATGCGATGGTTTGAGTCTCGTCTTATGAGGTAGAAGAAGCGCAGGAAAAAGCGCAAGAGAAAGAACAGAATTTCCGAATAATAAAAAAAAAAAACTCATTTTAAGAACCACAAAAATGCAAATGAAGTGTGTAAGAAAGTTTTACGTAGTGTGTAAAAAAGTTTTACGAAAGTTTTACGTAACAAAAAGTGAACGACGTTTCATTTCAACGAAGAAAATATTCTCTGTTCAAATTAAGATGGAAATTCATTTGTTCTATTTTGTAAATAAAATTTTGACTTTTCCAAGTTTTTGAAGGAATAAAAAAATAAAACTATATGAGCCTTAAGTTCAAGGTGGTATCTATAAATTGTTTTAATTTACTGAGCTATATTCACAATTATTTTTGAAAGAAGTTTTGGAGTTTTTATATTAGCTCTCAGATTTGCCCATCATTGTTATCAGACCTCATTTTTTTTGTCTTGTTTGCAATAAGAGTTTAATTTTCGAACAAGCGTCACAAAAGTTGAATATTGTGTGACGCGTTTCTTTATTTTGGCTCGCTTGAAAAGAAAGAAAAGCAATTATCGCGTCCGCGATAGTTTGATCTGCGATTCTTAACCGAAATAAATTACTTATGTTTGGGGAGCTGACTTAGCTGGGTTAAAGCGTGATAAAGGAGAAGGTGGGGAAATAAGAAGAATTTTCTTTACCGTGCAGGAAGAAAAGGAGGACTTTGGCGAAGCCGGCGGCGCATACCAGCCGCGCGACAGCGGCCTAATACAAAGCAATACCGAGATAAAAGAGAAGCGCGCGCGCGTAGGTAGTTTCTCTTCTACCTGTCGACTTCATCTTTTCCTCTACGTATATTCCTCCTCTCTGCCACTCTTCCCTCGGCAACATCTACCGGCAGCTCATTGTAGTCCAGAGAAGGTGGAGGAAGAGGAAGAAAAGAAGAAGAAGACGAAGAAGAAGAAGAAGAAGAAGAAGAAGAAGAAAAAGAAGCAAATGCGAGAGCGGCGACACCTAAACTCGCGCTCGCTCGTTAACGTCCGTTTCATACTAGTCGCACAGTAAATTACATCCCGACCGATCGTAATGAATCTCGCACCAATGGATAAATCCGCGAGATATTTCTGCGCGACACAAAACGCGCCAACTCGCGTACCATACGTGAGCTCCGCAGTGCGCCGAGCTTAACCGGCGAACCAACGGGGACCCTTACGTCATTGCGTATTCACGGTACGGCCCATTGAACAGGGGAATTCGGTGAATGGGTATGAGCATGCATACCGCCAATACGCGCACCTTTACACCTTCAGTTCAAGGATCGGATCGCTTGAGTACTGTGGAAAATGCTTTAAGGCACTCGCTTGCGGATTCCTTCCGCGAACTTCTCGAGTGAAACGCACACATCGAAGTGCCGTAAATTTTTTTATTCGCGATAATATCTGCAGGTATTTCTTCACACAACAACTCTTGTAAAAATAAAAAAATAAAAAATCGTCTATTTTACTTCAAACATTCGAAAATTTAAAACTCGAGCTCATGAGTGTATTTTATTCTTCGTATTTTATATCTTCGCACACACACACACACACACACACACACATTTATTCGTTTTCTATTTCCAAAATGTTGATTCTGTCAAAATTCGCATCGCTCTCATATCACGTTCGTTGCGTGTGTAACACGCGCAACGAGGTTTGCAACCCAGAAACGACACACCCGTGAGGTGACACGTCGTGAATGAAAATCGGCCCCGGTTATAACCCGGGCTTCATTTCGCACGAACTCCGTTCTTATTCTCTTTCCCTCGTATTCTCCTCCCTCTCTCCCTCACGACACGATCGACATTCTCGTCGATTCGCCCCGATTCGTTGCAAGGTGCATTACTTTCCATGTTGTTTGAGATCGAGCAGCGGCAGTAGGCGCGCCCGTCGAACCGAGACTAATTCCACTTGCGCTCTCGGTACGACCGCGCCGCGACGGAAGGCACCGTGTCTTCGAGTGCGCGCGTTTATAAAGTGCAACGCGCGCATCCAAGTGCATCGTTGGCCGCCGGTTGCGTCGCGTCCGGTCTGTGCATGTTTTGTCGCCGATAAATTTGCGTTCGATCCGACCGTAATTGCCGGCGATGACATCTTCCGGTTGCAGCACGCGCGCGATCGTAAGTGCTGCTACACATGTAAACGTGATAGAAACCGCCGACTCTCCGGATCTTCTTAACTCGAATACACGCTTCTAACGGGATCCACTTCTCTCCTCGAATTGCCAATTATACTCTATACGATAATCATATATGTGAGATATTATTCGTGCCGATAGTTTTACATTCGTTTAAAAACCCATTAAAGGTTTGTTTTTTTTTTTTTTTTATGTACGGAACAAGTATCTTATGCAACAACACGTTTACACACAATTTTCTCTGTTTTTCCTTGAATACAAACGTATGATTAAAAAAGTGAAAAAAAGTCTGATTTTACTTTCGTGCTCGCGACGAATTAACGTCGGACGGACTTTCAGAGTAAGGCGCGTAATGCCTGACGGCGGTAACAACAATGAGAGCGATCGGTGCGGTAAACGCGTTCACGTCACGCTATAAAGTAAGACGAACGCCTCTGCTCTAATTAATCCACTAATTAATACGTCGTGATTATCCCGCGAGTGATTAACGTGCGAGCCGCGTACTACGTTACGACTCGTTTACGTTGAGGCAACCATCTCTGCCGGTTAATAACAGTAACGATCGCTATCGAGCTCCTGCAACCGCAACGGGATCCCTTTTATTCGCGTGCGGTTTACCGATGAACTGTTCATTGAATTGTGGATAGCAGCAAATTAATTGTTATTAGTATTCGCGTTGCACTTTTTGCATTACAGGGAGAGAAAGAGACAGAGATAGATAGATAGAGAGAGAGAGAGAGAGAACGAGAGAGAGAGCGTCACGGAGTCAGGTCAAGTTCAGAGGCTAGTCCGCCTTGTCCGCGCTTGAAACAAGATGGTAACGATAACGATCGTAGAGCAAGAGAGAAAAAGAGGGAAAAGACCCATTGCTTGCCGAGATAACAGCCGGTCGTGCGATAATTGCGGCAACATAGGAGTTTGACTTGGTGAGGGTACTCAAAGGTTCAGCTTAAGCTAGATTCACCCACGGGTCCGGCACAGAGGCCGGGGTGCACGCTGGTGGCAGAGGTTCCGTTACAGCCCGGAGGCTGCATTCGTTCACCATTACCGTGGAACGCGGAATATGATTACCTTCACCTGGGAACAAACTCCTTATATACTACAACCGGCCGGCGAAAGAGATCGTGGGCGAAGTTCGCGTCGTGGATACAGTGTCCCGGTTTTGCTGGTCGTTCGCGTTCGACGTTAATCAGATTGGAACTGGTCTATAGGAATCGACCGACTTTCCGCGCGCGCGACGAGATGCATCATCGCACCGGCCACCGTATCATCTCTCCCGGCAACTCGGGATATCTGCATAGAGAACGATTGTGAATGGTATATTTTAGCGCGCTCGTCGTCATCGGCACGTGCAGCTAATTTGATCGCGCGTCTCTCTCGCGCGTAGCGCGTTATGCAAATCTATGCGGTTCGATAACCGCCGGTTTGTTGCACACACGCGTGTGAGCGTGCGTGCGCGCGCGTAGTTAAAGAAGCGGGAACTGATTGCGCGATCGCGCGACGCGGACATATCAATTTATAGGGGCGTAACGAAGTATATCCCTCGCGAATGAGCTGCTTAATCTCGCGGGGAGAGAGAGAGAGAGAGAGAGAGACAGATTCTTCCTTTACAATCATTATACCGCCTGAGTCGGTCTTGAACGCCCAGTTTAAAATCCTGAAATTGATTTGTACAACCGCAATATTGTTTTATTTACGATGTCCCGTGCGAGTAATGACGCGGTTAACAATTTATGACAACAAATGCCCGGCGACTGAAAGCGCGT